AGTGAACTGCGGTTATGAGACGTATATAAGAACGATCCTTCGCAGTAAAGCACTATTTGAGCAATAGTGGAAATCAGACCTGAAAAAAATTTCAGGCCTGTACGGGATTCGAACCACTGACCTCTGCGATACTAGTGCAGCGCTCTACCAATTGAGCTAACAAGCCAACTGGGAGCAGGCCATCAAATTAATTCGATATAAACCCGTAGATGATAAATCGAACAACAACAAACATATGAAACATATGAGTGAACTGCGGTTATGAGACGTATATAAGAACGATCCTTCGCAGTAAAGCACTATTTGAGCAATAGTGGAAATCAGACCTGAAAAAAATTTCAGGCCTGTACGGGATTCGAACCACTGACCTCTGCGATACTAGTGCAGCGCTCTACCAATTGAGCTAACAAGCCAACTGGGAGCAGGCCATCAAATTAATTCGATATAAACCCGTAGATGATAAATCGAACAACAACAAACATATGAAACATATGAGTGAACTGCGGTTATGAGACGTATATAAGAACGATCCTTCGCAGTAAAGCACTATTTGAGCAATAGTGGAAATCAGACCTGAAAAAAATTTCAGGCCTGTACGGGATTCGAACCACTGACCTCTGCGATACTAGTGCAGCGCTCTACCAATTGAGCTAACAAGCCAACTGGGAGCAGGCCATCAAATTAATTCGATATAAACCCGTAGATGATAAATCAAACAACAACAAACATATGAAACATATGTGTGAACTGCGGTTATGAGACGTATATGAGAACGATCCTTCGCAGTAAAGCACTATTTGAGCAATAGTGGAAATCAGACCTGAAAAAAATTTCAGGCCTGTACGGGATTCGAACCACTGACCTCTGCGATACTAGTGCAGCGCTCTACCAATTGAGCTAACAAGCCAACTGGGAGCAGGCCATCAAATTAATTCGATATAAACCCGTAGATGATAAATCAAACAACAACAAACATATGAAACATATGTGTGAACTGCGGTTATGAGACGTATATGAGAACGATCCTTCGCAGTAAAGCACTATTTGAGCAATAGTGAAAATCAGACCTGAAAAAAATTTCAGGCCTGTACGGGATTCGAACCACTGACCTCTGCGATACTAGTGCAGCGCTCTACCAATTGAGCTAACAAGCCAACTGGGAGCAGGCCATCAAATTAATTCGATATAAACCCGTAGATGATAAATCAAACAACAACAAACATATGAAACATATGTGTGAACTGCGGTTATGAGACGTATATGAGAACGATCCTNTTTTAATAATTAAGAGTATTTTAGAACACGAACAGAGTAAACGGCGCACGCTGATTGGTCGATTCAGTGTCACCGTTTGTCCATGGGTGTACGTTGCTGACCTAAGGAAATGTAAAAAACAAACATCCGCCCGCTTGTTTCTACTGATTACGTAAGATTTTAGTGCTAAATAAAAGGGAACTCTTTTGCTACAGTGTATCAATGTTATGTTATAAAAGAAGTGATAAACACTACAGCGTACACTATTGAGTTATGGATGCCTATGGGAGGTTGCCAAGCACGAAAGAAGCTTAAGAGTCGCGCGAGGCGTTAGCCAAGAGCGACTCTAACTTCTTCTTCTACCTTATTAATCGATAAAACGTATCAAAGCATCGCATCAATATAAATACAATAAAATAATAATTAGATGAATAATAGATAAACAGTAATAATAAAATGTATAATTATATATGTGATTAAAGAATTTTTTTTAAAACCACTTCCCAGTTTCAATAAGATGGTCGCGCAGAGCCGTCTTAACTTTTAAATTATTATCTATGTTTGCAGTGTCACCTAGAAGTCAATTCCATTAGTTGACTGACCACAGAGAAACGCTGTTTTCGTATTGATTGCAGTTTGAATGTGGTCATATGAAGGTTTTGGATTTACCACTCATTGAAGTACAAGTATAGGAATCAAAAGAGAACAAGATTTTCTTCCCATGAAAAGCAAATATTTTCATGAATGGGAACTACTGTTTGTAGTAATATTTCCAAATGACTCTTTGAATGAATAAAACTTGGCAAAGTAAAATGGCGAGTTCTAAAATAGAGAAGAGAGACATACAAACACTCACACACACGTACGCGCACGCATACGCACACGTGCGCACGCAAGCACACAACAAAACAAAACAAAATGAAACAAAAGTACAAAAAAACGAAAAAAAGCATTGGGAAAATCACAAAAAAGAAAAAAAAAACTGAATTAAAACGCTAAAGAACTTTTTTTTGTGGTTGTTGGTAGTTTTTTCTCGTAAAGACGCAAACGTTCGCGCTCAAAGTCTTCTTTAATAAGTTATTTTTCTCTAACTTGTAGTTCTAAGAAAGGATTAGCTTATTCTGAACTAGACCCGCCGCCACAGCCCCCAGTAAAGGTTATGTATAGCAGCTGTGTGAGATTCGCCGCTCACATATCAAAGTAGCCTTAAGAAAAGCAAATTGTTGGGGACTTCTTATCATTAGCATTTTATCGCCGGAGGGGTGGGTGGAGGGAGAAGAGTAGTAGGAGGACTGATTTTTAGAGGGATTACATGGTTTTCAAAACACTTTATTTTTTACAGTGCTTTTCTACCCAAGAGTATAAACGGGTAGCGGCAAATTTTCAAGGAACCCAGATCAAATGCTGTGAGATTGCAATGAACCTTGCAATGAACTGACATCCCGTCCAGGGGAGAGTAGAAATGTTTCTAGTCGCTTCATGCTATATATATGGAAACCAGAATAAGCTCTGGTTGGAGTACAAAATTATTCTTTCACCAGCTAACTTTTTTTACTTTTGCCGAACACTCAGTAGTGAAACTGTGTCAACTGAATGGAGAAGACCGAAATTTGAAGCTTGATGCGTTGAAGCCAATGAGCGGTTGGATGCACTACGGCATGGTTGTTGAATTTAAGGTAGTTTTAAAAATCATTCAAACAGCGCTGTCTCTCCCGACACAAAGCGATGTTTCACGCTATTCATGTTTAGACCTGAGATATACTTTCCCCGTGAAGATTAGAGACGAGTTGGGGAGAGGTTTTCCGAGGGTCTGGCACTGATATTCATTACCTGTTGCCGACTCGCGTTGCTCAAGGCCTAATATTTTCCCACTGACGAAGAAAGGCTCCAGCCGAATCGCCAATATTGAGGCTAAGGAATATTGTGAATGTTAAAGATATTCACAAGTGTAATTAGGTCATATTAGCATCATGCACTATCTTGCTACCAGGAGCAAAGTTTGAAATTAAATCTTGGAGCAAGAATACAGAGATTTGTGTGGGCAAGGGTATGTGCTATATGACGAGTCGGTGAAAGATATCTTAAAATTAACAATTCTACAAGTGAACTAACGTTATGTTAAAATCATGCAATCTCTTTCTACAAGGTTAATTAGTCTGTAAAAATAAAACTCATTTCTTTTGATGGAAATTCTTGAGGTCATCAATCTCCCGTTAAGATAAACAGTCTATTTTGCCGAAACTGAAGATTCCGATAGGACAGACTGAGGCGATGAACTTTCTTGCACTGAGGCTTATTTTTCGTTATGATGAATTTAAACGCTTGAAGCTATTTGGAAATTGTGAATCATCTGTGTAAAGATAAACAATCTTACGCTATCATTTCTTCTGCATGATTCCTGCGTATATTAAGTTACCTCCGGGTAGCATTGTAATCATGTACCTTCCCACTAAAAACTATTATTTCTCAATATAATTAATTTATGACTCTGTCCCCTTTTTGGAGAATGTTAATTTTCCACAGGGCGAGATGGCAACGCCGTCATGTTCTGTATGTGTTCTTTACCTGATCGCTGTAGGTAAAATGGCTTTCTCGTGCTGTTAAAATAAATTTTAGACTGGGGAATATTGTCATAGCTTAAAATAAAATGCTTATAAATATGCGAAAGTGGAAAAGGATCCTATATTTACTTGAACCGTTATGGATAATTTCGTAGTCGAGTTGTTAATATTGTTTGCTATTTCTTAGGCTCGCTGCACTCAGTGAGAAAACCCCGTAACAAAGTTAATCAGGTTGCCCGTCGTAAAAGATTAAAAATTTATCTCGTGACATTGACCTGGCAAGCAAACAATCATGCTCAGGTATTATATTTGATCTCCTGTGGAGTGGATAAGTGGTAACGAAAAAACAGCTATTGAAGAGCCTCTGTGGGAACTCTATGAAGACAGTTAAATAGCAGGTGTGCGTTAGATTATTATTCAAATGGCTGATAACGATTTGGAATTATGAATTGTCATTATTCTATGATCTTTGAAGGATTCCTTAATGAGGAAGCTGATAGCTGTTAGAGTCCTTCATCCGACTTCATTTTTAAGCAAGTTGCGAACAAGATTTAAAGAGACGGTGTGAAAAAGGTATCAATATTGGATATGTTACTTCAGTGTTTTGTCTCTATGTTCAACAATTGCTTCAATGGTATTGATCTCAGTGAAATTTTGATTTTAAAATGGATTACGTAACGATAATTCGTCAAGTTGAAGTGAGCCAAAGAGTGGGTTTAAAACATGGGTTTACAGAAAAATAATGAAATAGAAAAGGTGAAATAGAATAATGAAATAGAAAAGGGAAAGGGAATGGCTGAAGAGGGAGACGATAAACTGAAGAAACCTATTTTTTCCAAGATCTAAAAATTACAAATGTTGACAGTTTCTGTTAAAGTGAAACGAAATCAATGTCAAATGTTAACTCAATTGGAATGGAGGGATGGAAGTCACGAGCGCAATTACGAGATGGTACAACGTAGATCTTAATCAGCTTGTATGGTAATGTATTCCACGGGGACAAATTTGTTTCCAACAGCATTTCTCTCTATTGTAATACGGTTCTGTAGTGATGAAGTTCAGGAATAGTGTACGAGTGTGTTTTCCTTATAGTTGGGGCTAATTGGATTGCACCTGTAGCAATCCTGACTTTTTGATATCACAAACGAATCAAATATTCTCTAAAACATTTATCCTTTGTTTAAGAAAAGTGTGCATCCTGAGACCTTGCAATAAAGATATCAAAGCAGGATTCTTATGACGTTGAAATGTAAGTAAGCTATGACTTTGGCCAGCTTTCGGCTCATCACGCCTTGAAAAAAATCTCAGTCAGCTCCGCTGAAATCCATTGTGCGAATTAACGCCCACCCCAGCAACGCTGAGAGGAAAGTTTCTTGCTGTGCTTAGCGTTTGTAATAATACTCCTGAAGCGTAAGCAACGGCAGAATCAATAGGTGGTTTGCACGTTACGTCATTGCCGCCATGTTGGTGGACGTATACAATAGATATCTCATTAGCTTCTTTTGTTCGTCCACCAGCATTTGTTCCTTTCACCATTGTTACCAGTGTCTCTAGAGATTGGTTGCAAACCACCTATTGGCTACGCAGTTTAGCACCAAATCATGAAAAGAGTCGGCTGATAAGTCAAGGTTAAGCAAACAGCTTTAATTTAAGACAAAACAAACCAAATTCGGATCCGAACAATGTATATATAGAACGTATGGTCTGTATCTGATATGGACTAACTGCTTATGAGTCAAAGAATTATTTGAACTATCTATCATTTTCAAAGGTTTCTTTGAGTGCATTTCAAATGGGTGAGGTACAACTAAAACCAAATTTTTCAAAAAGACAAAACAGAGAACTTGAAGCACTTAAAATGTCTTAAGGAGCTGATGAAAACCCATGAGAAAACGAGCAAACTGCCTAAAGCATTGGAAAACGCAAGGGATTAAGTCGTTTTTTATATAGTTTTTAATCCGATTGGCTGCGAAAGTGACGCGCCCTGTTTGAACCAATCACCCAGCAAAGTTATGTAAACCCAAAGCGACCCCAGGCTACCGCCTAGACTAAGGTACGGCCCTTTTTTTTTCTTTTCTTTTTTTTTTAATTTTTTTACGTTTTTTTCCTTTTCCACCAAAATTGTGGATAGTTTTTGGACTTTCTTTCGGGAATGGCCAAATTCAAATCCCCACTTATAAATCAGCAATTTTGTTTTCATATGATCAGATATTAAATTTCCATCTCATCAGGGAATCCTTTGAAGCCTGTATTCATAAATCCATCATGCTGCTGTTGGCAATGGCTGCAATTATGACGGCTTTCGCCGCTAGTCTTTGTCAAATTGGTGGCTTTATCGGATGTTCCTTCTTCATGGGAAGGAAAATGGTAGATGACCACTGCCTGGTTGGACACGAGTTTTCAAATGTTTCAGCAGCAGGGGTGACGGAATGTTTTAAAGCATGCCAAGCAAACTGTCGGTGCATTTCGTTCAACTTCCTGAAAAATATTAACCAGAAAAACTGCCAACTGAATGAAGAAAACAGACATACAAAGCCCGGTGCTTTGATTTCAAAGAGTGGATCTCAGTATTACGATCTTGTCATTGACTACAAAGTAACGGTGAGACATTATCTATGATTTTTTTAAGGAACCAGTCATTGTTTATCGCTGAGGGGTCGACCTCTCACAGGGTTCTGTAATATTCTTACGATCCCCTTTCACTGGCATTTGATTGACAGTCAATCTTTGTCGAAATCCCTCTTTATACTCTATAGGCAGCGAATGATCCTCCCCCCTCCCTTCCCTTTGAATCCAAGTGATCCCCCACAATATTCTTCGCCTCCCCCTGCATTATTAGGCATTATTTTTCATGCCCACCCAGAATTACTGGATGTTTCTTACATCCTACAAGTGTTGAAATGTCTTGAAAGCTTAGGTTCTATTTATTTAGAGCAGTTTTACACATCAATTCGCATGCATTTTTTTTTTCTCAATGGAAAATGTTTTTACTTTGTTCACGGAATCAAGAGGGAAAACACATACATGCGATAAAAGGTCTGTCCTTTATATCCTCATCCCTAGACTGCAGGTTCATCGTGTCCTTGCACCCATTGCTCCAATAGTTGTTGCAGAGACCAGCCGTGTCATAATGGGGGTTTGTGCGTGGAAAACTGTGAGGCAAGCGGGAAAAGATTTGTCTGCAATTGTAACCGAGAATTCACAGGCCAGCTGTGTCAAACTGTTGGTTAGTTATATAGGAATTTTTAAGTTGTCAGAGAAGTGAATTGTGAAGTAAAAATGATCCTTTATCTGTAAATAACTGTGTTCACCATTAAGCTTTACCTTTGTGTTTTTACTGCTTCGTATAAGATCGCCTTTATATCAGTTCTGTGGATAGATAGATAACTTTATCTATGCGTGATAAAATCCTTCAGCACAATCTGGATAAATATGTAAGCATATCGCAGTTTACGTTTAACACGTGTAACAGCATGCTAAGTGATAAGAGCATGATTTTGCTGAATCGTTTAAAACTCTTCCTTCTCCCAAAAACTATGCCCAGTAAGTGAAGGTGAGTTTCAGAAATATGTTCACCCCAGCCATGGTTGTCTTGATTTGTTGTGTCTTGAGTAAATGTGCGCATTATACATTCCTATCAGCTGAACAGTGCCTCGTTGCCCTCGGTATGGAAACCAAAGGAATCAGGGACGGGCAAATCAGTGCCTCCTCAAAATTCAGTGCCTCTTATACTGCCTCTTTCGGGAGACTGCAATTCTCAGGAACCTGGATAACTCAATTTAATGATATCAACCAATGGCTTCAGATCGATCTGATGACTAACCTGTACGTCAGTGTGACACGTGTAGCGACACAAGGGAGATATGATTGGGACGAATGGGTGACAGAATATAAGTTGCAGTACAGCAGTGATAAAGTCGACTTTCAGTACTACAGAGACAGAGGACAAAGTAGAGACAAGGTATTGGGACCATATTGATGTTGATAAACTTTATAACTCGTATTCGTAGTTTTACATTCAAATCAGTTACTATCTACATATATCAGTGTAGTTCTGTGATGATGAGGGGAACGTGAACGGGAATGTAGTTTTAATTTTTCCTGTAGAGCATAAGCGAACATAAAGTATGCGCGAGGGAAACACTTACTAACTCACTATCAAGTTGGCCTCCTGCCTGCTCGTTCGAGAAACGCAAAAAAAAAAAAAGATAGTTTTGCTTTCAAGGCTACATATACATTTGAGTCATCACCTTTCACGTTTACCTTCTGCTTGCTCGTCTGATAAACGCCAAAATATTTTTGTTTTCCGGGAAACAAATACGTCTGCGTTAGTGGTCACGCGTACATTGGAAATTCAAGCAGTGCCCCAACTAAATAGTCAGTATAGATGCCTACCCAGATGAATGTAAAAGTGGATCGAACTATTGTCTTAAAGAATGATCTTTGGGACAAATCTTGGATACTAAATCCATTCTCTTAGCTTTATAGTCTGTTAGTTGAGCGAAAAAGACTGACGCCTTAACAATTTCATTCCCACGATGCCTACAGGTTTTTTCTGGAAACTCCGATCGTCACAGTGTAGTGCAGCATGATTTAAATCCAGTGATCAAAAAACGTTATATTCGTTTTCGACCACTGGCATGGGAAAGCAAGATAGCAATGAGAGTAGAGCTATATGGCTGTCGTGGTTAAGTACATTTTATACATTTTCGTATTCATAATTTTCTGATTAACTTATTCATCAATGTAAGCCTTCGAAATTTCACTAGACGCCTAAGGGTTTCTTGTTTTGTCCTAACTTTAATTTATGAAATGCTTTTCTAACTATTTTCCCAATAATGAAAAGACGGTAAAAAATTTAAAAGTAATATTTCACTGTCGATATGCTGCATATGATGCCACTATCATGCAAGTAAAAATTCAATTCTCGTTAAGCTAAAAAAAAGCGTAGTCTATGATGAAACGGTTGCGGACACGAGAAAAGTTATTAAAGAGATTTCTGCCGTTTCCAAATGACTGTGTCTTCTTCGTCATTATAGCAAGTATTAAGCAGAAACTGTTTGCGATTTTCATTGACTTTATACCAAAGAATACCTCTTTTTTCAAGAATATCAAAGTTTTTTCTCGACAGATCAGTTGTGTTTACTCACTCTCGTCCAAAAACTAATTCAACAATGAGAACGCGAGTAGAGTTGCTATCAATTTTCAAAGTCAATCTCAGCATCCGATTGATTTTGATCTTCTTGACCGTTCAGATTGCCTTGATGCCCTCGGTATGGAAAGTAATGCAATTTCTGACGTTCAGATAACTGCCTCTTCACAATATGATAGTAACCACGCCCCTCCGTTCGGCAGAATACACCTGCTGTCCTCCGTGCCAGGAGCTATTTGTGGAGCTTGGGTCGCAGCCGATGGTGATACTAACCCATGGCTACAGATTGATCTGATTAAACAAAACACCAAAGTTACCAGTGTTGCGACTCAAGGAAGACAGGATTATCCTCAGTGGGTGACAAAGTATTCTCTGCTTTACAGTAACGATTCGATTGCCTGGCACTACTACAAAGAACAAGGATTGAAAAAGGTCGGGCCAAATACGTCTGCTAATTCAGAATCTTTTGTGAGAAGGTTGAGAGTTTCTAAAGAAACTGTGGTGGTGCATTGGTGGGGTTAACATGGTAATTCGGTTATATCAGTGAGGTTGAAATTGTAAATTGGACACCGTAACGAGTTAAAAAGCTGACAGCTCGAGCGTTAGTCCTTCGTCAGAGCGGGAGACGAAGGGCTAACGCTCGAAACGTCAGCTTTTTAACTCGTTCCGGAGGCCAATGTACAATTTCAACTTAGTTGATATAACCAAACTACTTTTGTGAGAAAGTTAATGAACAGCTATTCGCGGATGGCAATGTAAATATTGTTTATTTTTCCCTAAGCCAAGGGGAAGGGGATTATTCCACAATATTTACTGAGCATGGGGTAAAAGTTTATTTAAGGAAAATATAAACTTATCCTATTTTAGCCATGCATCAAAGAACAGACACATAAACTCAGGCGCTTGGATAACATAATCAATTCCTAAACTACACATGACAGAAGCAGATGAAAAGACAATGCCATCGCGTAGTGATTGTTTAAACGTGCCTTTGCAAAGCATGCAAACTGTCCTATTGAAGCCAATTAAATCTTAAAAGCGTAATACCCTTGCTATGATCGTATCACGTGGGGTGATTGTGGCGAGACATGACGCAGTCCTTGTCTAATCGGAGCGCACCATCTCTATTATCACCTGAGTAAATAAATGCAACGCGCGACTCCAAGGTGTGCAGTGAAGAGGGTGTGAGTCAATATAGAATTTAGTTCCGTTATTTGGAGCAAAAGGAAGAGTCCATAAGCAATTAAATTCACTCTATATTATCAATTTCAATTTTATCTTCCAGGAGTTTACAGGAAACACTGACCAGCTTACGGTGGTACCACATGACCTGAACCCTCCAATCAGGACGCGAGTGATCCGTTTTCGAGTTCTAACTTGGTACAGTTGGTATGCGATGAGGGTAGAACTGTATGGTTGCCACGGTAATGGATCTCTCATTTAAATTCATCGTGCGCCTCTTTCAGAACTGTTGGTTTGTGTTTATGTTTCAGCTCAAAAGCTAATTTTTTTTTTACTGTTTTGTTGCTAATGATACTTTCAAATATTTTTTCTTCGACCAGTGACATGGGCAGGTTGTAAAGCAGAGGAAGAGAGCCTGTACGGCTGTCAAAGTAAGAAGCCGATATCTATTTTACAGCATTTTTTTTACCATTAGTGCATAATTTCTACACAATCCCGCTTAATACGGAAAAGGTGCAAGTAGGAAAAACCTAAGTCATTTTTTCATTTTCAATTCAGTCAGAGTTTTACCTGCTTTCCCCCGACCCCACCCAAAGTAGAAATTCGATAATATGTATAACATTCAGTTGTTATGTTAAGCACGGAATGTTTTGGAACTTTTTTTAGGATCACGGGTGGACTGACTTTGACTTATTTTAATGGCCATTTTAGAGAAGAGTTTATTGACAGTGTGTATGCTCACTAGGAAGTAATAATCTTTTCTCTTTATATAGATTGCATAAAAGCCCTCGGCATGGAAAGCTATGCAATTACTGATTCACAAATCAGTGCGTCTTCAGAGTACAATGGCATTTACGCTGCAGTTCGAGGCAGACTTCATCTTAAGACCGTACCAGGTTGGGGAGGTGGTGCTTGGGTGGCTCATGTGGGTGATAACAACCCATGGCTACAGATAGATTTGACTAAGCATTATATCAAAACTGTCAGGGTAGCGACACAAGGAAGATTCTCCTCGCCCCAGTGGGTGACAAAGTATTCTTTGCTGTACAGTAACGATACAAGTAATTTTTTGTTCTACAAAGTCCAAGGGCAAGGTGCAAACAAGGTGAGTGTTGCAATAAACATGGCTTTAATATCAAGATGAAATTATTCCAAAACAATATGGCGGGCCCTTAAGCAAATGGCGCCCAACATGCAATGGGACACTAGAACAGAACAGAAAGTGCTAAATACAACGAGTGTCACTTTCATTGGCCCCTTTACGATAGTTACTGAAATCCCTCGGTGCCTTAGCACTCTTAGTATCTCGAACCGAAACTGATTTATCCTGGTTTTATTTAATTACTTTTTACCTTAATTCTAATGCTTTGATGATTCAAATCCTTGATAACATAAAGGCGCACTCGGTTCCCCTCGCAGCTTTTCCCCGATAAGAACTCAAACTTCTTTTTCAAAGTACAGTACATAAGATGTTTTCCTTGGTTTTGAACCATAACATCATTCCTTTTTTTTTGCTTGATCGCCTAACAGTTAAGTTGTCGGCCGCGTAAATAATATGATGCATTTTAAATTCTTTATTAGGAGTTCAGTGCAAACTCAGACGGGCGCACTGTTGTATCACATGACCTGAGCTCCCCAATTACAGCGCGTTACATCCGTTTTCTCGTGCTTGCTTGGTACGCCTGGCCATCAATGAGAGTGGAGCTTTATGGTTGCCATGGTATAGAGAAAACTTTATTTTGCAGATATCTTTGTCAACACTGAATCATAACAAAAATTCTCTGAAAGTGATCATATGCAACCTCTGCAACCTTCGTACCTTGCGTTCAACTCATTAAATTTTGAGCCTGTCCTACAAAATAGATGACTAAGGCAAGTCTTTCCAACCAACTCATTTTCATTTTGTTTAATACCTAAATAACAAGTAAGATATTCATAAAGCATGGAGTCTGGGGCCAGTGTTGCAAAAGTATGGTTGATCAAATTTGACAGGCGAAATCCGGGTCATGATCGAGTAAAGATATGCTCGATCACACAGTACAGCTTCATTTTAATTGCCTCTAGGAGTTAAGTGGTGTGTAGAATAGCAACAGTAAACCTTTAGCATCTATTCATTATGCACCTAGATTGTCAACGGGCTCTTGGAATGAGAAGTGGTGAAATTGCTAACTCACAAATTAATGCTTCTTCGGAACTCAATGATTTTCACGCCGCCATTTTGGGGAGACTGGAGTCTAGGATAGCTGGCACCAAGAAGGGAGCATGGGTCGCCCCCCAGGAGGACCTTAACCCGTGGTTACAGATTGATTTGCTGAGGCAGGACACCAGGATAACACTGATAGCCACACAAGGAAGATACGACGGCGCCCAATGGGTTACAAAGTATTCACTGCTCTATAGCAATGACACAAGTAACTTCTTATACTACAAGGAACAAGGGCAACAAAATACAAACAAAGTAGGTCAGGCTCGACAAAGAAACAACTTAAAATGGTGTAGAATGCATATTGACGGGTTCATTGCAATACATTAGGACGTCTCCTCTAATCAGCTTTTTCTTGCGTTCCGACGGCTCCGTACACGCTTTCATGGAAAACATCATTCGTATAAGGGCCGCAATAGTTTGTGTTAGGAAGACCGGAAATAGTTGTATGGCCCGAGAGTTACGAGCTGAAAGAAATGAACAAGAAAGAGAAGGAAAGTCAGTCATATGATGATAAAAATGGCTATTGCCTGGTGCAAGGGTCCGTTCATCATGAAGTCGAGCCAGACATTTTTTTCGTTTGGCATTCGTATTCAGTCAATGAGTACATGCAATTCAAAGTGTTCCAATTGTCCTGTGGGGGGGATAGATACTTAGGTTCTCTCCCTTGTTATTTGTTCAAGGTAAGAACGTGTTCAGACTATTTTACATCTACTGAGGTAAGAAAAGGAACGTATTTTGAACGATTTCATTGTTAGTTATGTGTCATTATTTATTATATCGTGGGTATTATTTTCTATAAGAAGTTAAATCAGGCGATAACGAAACTTAAGAGCGCTTTTTCATCAATATTTTTTCAGTAAATATGAATTAAGTTATCTTTCTGGTAAACTAAGGACTCGGTTACCATCATGATATCCATGGTAACAATTCCTCTTTTTATTTCAACCATTAGGAATTTGTAGGAAACACCAACAGTCACACGGTTGTTTCACATGACCTTGACCGACCAATCACGGCGCGTTATGTTCGATTTCAAGTTCTCACGTGGCACAACTGGGCAGCAATGAGAGTGGAGGTGTATGGTTGTCATGGTAATATCATACATTTCTTTACATGTATATTATATTCTCGTTGTTACCTTTTTTTATGCCATCCTCTCAATTTCAATTAAAGAGAAGAGATAGTTGAACGTTGCACTTAAAGACAAACCAAGTACCTGAAAATAGTTTTGTTTTGAATGTGGGCTCTCCTTTTCGCTTATCCACACAAACATCTTTTAGAAGAAATCCGCAACTAAGTCCAGCAATCAAATTATGAGCTCGAAATTTCTACCCTGCAATGAAAATCGAGAACAGATAATCTATTATATGTAATTGTTTTATGATCATTAATTTACAAGTCATTCAAACTTGAAAAGTAAGACTCCAGTTTTTAACTTCATTTGCTTATAACCGCACTCTTTTATGCTATCTATCACTGAATAGGAATCGAGTCAAATAAACAATCAGATTGTGGCATTTGTGGTAGAACACTATAGCTACTCTTATTTCTTACCGTGTCTTAAACTATTTTAAATATATTTCAATTAATTTTCATTATTACATTTAGTATTTTTCTAAAACATTTGACATGATACAGAGCTGTTTAGGTTTTTGCCATGCGCGTGTTAAGTCCGCTTAAAGGAAGGGTGGGGGGATAGAATTCGAAATTCAGGTAACATAGCGAGTTTCCGAATTTGAACAATTCGATATTTTGATACGCAGGATCACTACATAACTGATTCCATTCATTTAACCAATGGACTCCCTGAAGGATTAGTATTACCTCTGATCTACCTCAAAGATGCCGTCTTTTTCCTCTACAGATAATTAAAGAAGAAGAGGACTTCAAGAAGATTTGAACCTCAGTGACTTTTTTAATTAAGTTTTTTTGTGATAGTTTTGAATGATCAAGCATAGTCGTTGAAAAAGAAGAAACAACCATAACAGCTCGCAGCTATTGTGGTATTTTGTGACCACAGGGTCACTAAATCAACGGTACGACTCAACTACTGATCAAATATGAGCTCTTAACCGCATAAATTATATGTAGTAGTTATGAAAAATCATTGGTATGTTAATCAATTGTAATTGTGCCCCATGACCTCATTTGGTCCAAAGAGAGTCGACCTTGTTGAATTTCGATCTTGCAAATGGCTCCTCCAGCATTCAGGGCAGTGAAGAAAAATCAAGTCACTTGGCAAAATATTGCAGCTTTCTTATTGGCCAATAAAAATGTTTTTTTCTTAAAAAGCTTAACATTCTGACAAGATCCAATGTTAATGGGTAGCTTTTTCCATTCTTTCTCTGCCGCGACTGCAAAAGTCAATCCTCCCTCTATTTTTCCCGAGCATTTTTGCGCATCTCAGGGTTATGTTTCCATACCTCGACTGCCACATAGAAATATCACTAATTCGAACAGCGTCAGTAATTAAAGTTTTGTTGTCATTTTCACATTCTCACTTTCCTGATAATTAGTGTTGCATTGCGTGGCTTGCGAGGTTTTTTTTTTTTTTTTAGAAAAACCATTTGTCTAGAACATTTTCTTGGGTTTTGAAATATTATACTTGTCTCTTAACCAACCTTCTATTTCTGAAAGATCATCGTCCGAAGCGCGAGAAAAGTGAGGGCCCCAGAGTACTAAGAAAATACAAACGCAAGGGGCTGTGGGAACGGAATGACTGATATTAACAATAACCTCGGTCAGAGACGCTCTTTCATCGCCCATCGTTCAATGGCAACATTGTTTTGTTTTGAAAGTTTTGCGAGATGCGTGTAAGAATAATGTACCCCCTTTAGATGGATTCGTAGGCAAGGAGAATCGTACGATTTATCTTTCCAGCGAAAACAGCTCCTCTCCTTAATAGAGCCAGTTATTTTATGTATAGTTGGCTCAGTTACCGTTTTTATTGTCAGACAATATCATGAGAGCGGTCAAAGGTTCGTCCCAGGACCTAATAAGTAATTCTCCCCTCTGAGTGTTGAAGATTTCCTTGTTTCTCAGATAAAATAATTTGTTGCTGTGCTGAGTTCAAACCCTCTTACTCATAATCATAGGCTTGTCTGTTCTCACAACCTGTTTGAAAGATAACATATTGAAGTCACAACGAGAAGTGACCAGTGAGTCATTTCTAAATGTAGACAGATCAAGAAGCAATCATCTCTTCGATCTAATTTGACACAGCGTGATAGTTGTCATTGACATCTGCTAACCACCTTCGACTCAAGCTTTTTCAGTTAACAGGAAGATGGTTCATTCACTGCGTTTTACTATTTCACCTTACTCTAGTCTGCTTTGTTTAACCCTCCTATGAGTGGTGTACTACAAGAAACTGTAACACCACAAGATAAAATCTGCTTTGACATCCGATAGCAGTGTTGCTAAAAAGATAATTAGATTCACATATATTCGGTTTTCATGTGGAGAAAGCTAATTAGTGGAAACGCTTATTTAAGCATTTTATAAAACTTGCTGAAAAGGGGCCCCTCGAAACTGCTATAATCCTCCAGGTTGTTTTAGTTTCGAGCGGCTGATAATGTTTCAAAATTTAACATCTTCTGAAGGCATTAACTTGGGTTTCTTTGGGGGTATGTCTTATCTAGAGCATGACAATGGCGTTTGGAATCTACAAGCAGTATTTTTGGAGCCAGCATGATGAAGATAGCAGGGCGAGTCATATTTTGCAATTACGCCTATATCTTTACCTTTTGCGCGAAATTAGAGTGAATTTTGAATCTAGAAGTGGTGCACCAGGGATAATTCGCCAAATTGAAGGAAACGAAAACAAATGTGGATGACATGCTGGAAACTTATATTATTTTCTTGTAGAGATAATCAACAAAGAAGCTACAAAGATGGCGAAGATGCGCATGAATGTCAAATACCAAACTTCGAGCGTCAAGCTGAATATTCTAACACTACTTACATTTATTTTGTTTTGCTTTGTTTTGATTGGTTTCGTTTTTCAGAACAAAATCACAGTTTCATGTCCTATCAATCAATCAATCAATCATATCCTCTATTTAAACACGATGAGGTTTAAAGCTGGGGGCTTGTGGGGTCGTGTGAATATGATTACAATAACAATAAGAATAGTGTCCCTTAAAAAATCACTCTACAAAATATACAGTAAGAATAATAAAAATGATTTACATTATTTATCTCTAAGTAAATTGACTACAGCGTTTAAAACATAAAAATAGTTAAAAGCATTTAAAATCTTGGTAGTGCCTGGGTAGTGACTGGACTGACTGTGCGCTAAAACCGAGATCCTTAAAATAAGAGTCCTTCTTCACCTTGCAATATAAAACTGAAAACTGGTCTGTAAAATAATTTGAATATATCAACAAAGTTGAAATGGTAAATTGGCCACCGTAACGATTACGAAAGCTGTAATGTGAAATGTTTCGAGACAGCGTTCCAGAGTATAGCGCCTCTATAGCTAATGGAGTTTTTAAGAAACTGCGAGTTAAAACGCGGGACAATCAAGTTATTACTCGTTCGAAAATTGTATGTGGTGCATGGTTTGTATGTTAAGTATGACAGAGCCGTAGGTGCTTCCCCTATAAACACACTATGGAGTAGTTTAATTAATCGAAGTTTATGATAGAGGGTTAAAGTATTCCAGTTCGAATGTCGGTAAACTTCCTCAGTAGGCATATCTCGGGGCAAGTTGTATATAATTCTGGCCGCCCTACGGTGAAGTACTTCTAGCGAATGTAGAAGCTCTGCATTGGGGCAGCCGCCCCAGACGACTTGTTCGTATAGAACTGATGGTAGTATTATCTTGGAGTATAAGTTCAATCGGAAGTTTCTGTTCAAGAACGAACTCCTTTTCAATAGGCAAAGTTTGTTTACAAAATTCTTTTTTACATCAGTAAAGTGGTGGGTCCATGAAAGTCTCTCGTCGATAGTACCACCAAAACGACGAGAGTATTTCGCCCACTCGATCCGATCCTCCCCAATTGTCACCGAGTTTAGTGGCCCGATGTGTGGTTTCTTCATCAACAGTGTTATTATATTGAAACCTTTGGGGATCCCCTTGGGGACCCCTGAATGACCTCACGGGTACCCCGAACATGGGAAGCCATGTGCGCGTTAGACCATCGAACTTTATTGTTAGCGGGCATTGAAAAGCTCAGTTTATTGTTGATTTTCGACTGTATGACATTATAACAAACAGCATAGCCTCACACTTTGCCGAGTGAGGGGTTAAAGAGTTCTCTAGGCACCAACTGTTCAATTCCGATAAAGCTTTGTTTAAAGAAGTGACAGTGTTGTCGACAATGTCCCCAATGCAGTAAACGGTTGTTTCATCTGCGTACATGTAGACAAAGCCAGACGTAACAGCACTTGGTAGGTCATTGGTGTACAATGCAAACAATGTTGGGCCAAGTACCGATCCTTGGGGAATCCTGCAGGTTACATTTAGCACATTTGAGTGTTGGCCGTTTACTACCGTGAATTGAGTTCGATCAGTTAGATAATCTGTCAGCCATAATAGAAGAGAACCTTGTACTCCAAATTGAGAATTCAACTTATGCAGCAGGATACCATGAGATACACAATCAAAAGCTTTTCTGAAGTCGACAAATGCCACAGCAACCACTTTAGCAGCATCAATAGCTGTTCTGCAGATTTCCGACAGGTGTACAAGCAATAGTTCAGTTGAGTGCCCCTCACGGTAAGCCCACTGTTTTTCTGTAACTAGGTTATTCTGGAAAACATGTCGAACAAGAGATTCTGTTGAACAAGGTGAAAACATGTCGAACAAGAGATTCTGTTGAACAAGGTGAAAACATGTCGAACAAGGGATGTCCGCTATAAGAACAATGTACTGACGAAGATGATATATTGCATGGAAAGGTTATTACATTTAGGAAAAAATGCTATGACATTTAGGATTTCATTACATTTAGGACCAAATGTTATTACAAGCAGGATAGTTATACATTTAGGTCTTCTTCAGCGCCTGTATGAGACATTGAAGACTACATTAAAGGAGATTATATTGAAAATACTGACTTTAAAGAAGTTTATCCCTAACCCTCTTCCTAACCGCAAGTCCCCACATAACTCGATTAAGAATCTGTCTTCTTACTGGCAACTGTTTTAAGAGGGTCTCGATGCTGTGATTGCTAGCGCTCTTACGGATAACAGTTAATTTCTCTCTGTAACGGTAAACAATGTCAAAATTTAATTTCCATCATTATGAAAGTTAACGATTAATTCTCAGTTTTCTGAAACACATTTATTCGCCTCATTTTCCATTAAAGTCAAGCAACAAGAGAAATTCTAGGTCAAGCTGATATAGAACAATTTTCTGTCTCCCCACATTGGCCACAAAACAAGACACACAACAGTCTAATATTTCAACACTTTCATAATGACAACTGTAAGTTGGAAATAGTTATTTTACAATTAAATTTTTTTGCAAGAAAAGGTTAAAATACCATCTTGAACTTTTTTTAACAGTTTTACGGCTGAAGGTTAACCCCGTTGAGACCCTTTAACAAATTTACAATGAAAACGATTTTAACTTAATCGCTTCTCTAAACGAGGTAATTAGGGACTTTAAGAAACCACGACGGCGACGCCAAAGAAGACTTTGATTAAAAAATGAATTTCTACTCTTAGGTAGAATTTCAAAAATGGCTGCAGGAGCTTACTGTCTCATACAGCGCCACAGCTCAACTTCAGCATGACGTATAAAGTAGCCGTTGAGTTCCAAATGGAAATTTAAATAATTTGCGTCGCGGTTTCGGTTCGCAGACGACGCAAATTTTGGCGATTTCACGTTGTTGTTTTGCATAGGACGGCTAAGAAATGTACAAAGTTTCAAAACGCATGTGCTGAGCTATTGTTCTGCCAATTAGATCTCTTGTTTTTCCACGTCCTCGTTACCGTCGCCGTCGTGGTTTCTTAAGGTCCCTATTGGCTTGTTTGGCCGGGAGTCCATACAGCTGGTAGAACACTGCACCGGTATCTTCTAAGGTCATGGGTTCAAATCCCGTACAGGCCTGAATTTCTTTTCAGGCCTTATTTTCACTACTACATAAGTAGTGTTTATTACTGCGAGGATCGCTTTCACACATTTCTTAAAACCGCTGTACACATATATGATTTTCATATACTCAAATACATTGATTCTCGACAGTTGAAAAATTTGCCTAAGAGTTGTACAACATTTTGGTTGTTTAGACAACAACAATCGTTTCGTTTTAGCCAATAAATTGCTCCTAGAACAT